GACGAAACAATTTTACTATACAAGTAACTATTCTGTATAATAACTAGAAGGTACGTATTACTACTACATATATATATATATATATATATATATACTCCCCTCTTAATGGTGAGGGAAAACGATTGTATACAAATAAAAAATATCTAAGAATCAATTTTTTTAACTTAGGAATACGCTAGTTTCTTCACCAGTCTTGAGGATGGAAATAAATCAGGAAAGATAATCCCTCATCAGGGGGAGCTAGTTTTGGGGTTCATATTATAAATCCCCCCTTCCAGATTTGTCGGAAATTTTATTTCATTCTCTACTCATCACCACTACTTAATACACCTTTTATGTGTTGGAAGCTTAGAAATGTTTTTAGAAAAAATAGTTGTTGGTATATAAAATAGGAAATACACTGGTAAAAGTGTGAGAATGAATTGTTTTTTACCTTTTTGTTTGTTTTTCTTGTAAATATTTCACACAAAATAAATACTTATCAAAGTTCTATAACAAATTTATCAGTCACTCAAGCTTTGGAAAAAAACCAAGTCTGGAAATATAAGTATAAAATTGCATCTGCTTCCTCAGGCCCCCCAGTAGCACAGCGGTATGTCTGTGGAATTACAATGCTAGAAACCGAGTTTCGATACTCTTGGTGGGCAAAACACATATAGACCATTGAGTAGCTTTGTGCTTAACTTAAACAAACAAACAAACTGCTTCCTCAGTAATGCTGAAATTATTTGAAGAAATATTGTACAATTCTGAAATGAACTTTATAGAATTGTATATAAGAATTATATCCTTTAAATACATTTATACTTTGCAGAACATTGGTTTTAATTTCTTATACTTTACACTCTGTTGAAACAAAGATTACGGAGAATTTCCATTTGAAATTGAGTGTTATCACATAGATATTTAGAATGATTCATGTATGCTTAAAAAGGCTGAGGTTATGATAGAGGTAATAAATGGTTCTAATGTAGTGGAAAATTTTCTATTTTTAAGATAAGATGTAATATTTTATGTTGTCTAAAGGTATGATACAGTTCAAAGGAAGTAATATTATCATTTGTAATGTTTTTAGCTGTTGTTCAGCAGCCTGTAGTTGTCCGAGAGTCGCTTCAAGTATTTACTACAGTCACTAAGAGTGATGGTCCCAAGAACAAACTGTGCCGGACACCAAAGGTTGGCTCACCAAAAGTTGCATACGAAGGAAGCCCTGGAAATCGAACAGGTAATCATGAAGTGTTGTATATACTTAAAAAATTAACAAAGAATATCTAATATAGTGTTTTTGTGTATCTTTTCAAATACCCAAAATTGCACACACTGCCAAAATGGTATAAATTTTTCTCCCATCTGTGGCAAGTAGTGACAATTTTATTAGACTTGTGTCTGATAATTATGATACCTATCACAACTTGGGTTTCATTTGCCAAAATAAATGTATATAATAAAATGCACTAATATTTTTGTATTCAACATTTAAACTATTGTTTCTAGCTATATCGCATAATTGACAATATTTTGGATTTCATGTTTATTAAAGCTATGACTAAATCTAGTAGAAGGTTTCATAACTTGTATATCTAAAACACAATTTATATATAATGCACAAAAATCTGTGTGTATGTATGTCTGTCTGTTATCTAACTACTACTAGATAGCTGGGCCAATCTCAACCAAGTTTTTGTGGGATGATAGTTTGGAACAAGTGGCAAGTTAATGTTAACTACATTCATACATAGTGTCATGTCCTTACACCAAAAACAAAAAAACTATTAAATTTTCTATAAAACAACATACATACATCTTATACATCTCAGAAAGTGCACTAGCACTCTCTTTGGATGAATGCAATGAAAAAAATGGCCACCACTATTGGAATACTACATAAACTCAGCTGAAGTTTCTACTCCAACAGCCACCATAAGCCTGATATGATGAGTGTTTTTCTGACATCATGAGTGTGTTATGTGGATATCATAACTAAACCGTTATACAACCTTTTATATATATGAGGTTTATATATGAATAAATCCTTATTCTTGCAATTTTATAAGAATTTTAGAACTGATTTTGTATTCATTTATAAGTTTTAGATGGTCAAGATTTGCCTGACTTTGAATTTGTTAATCCTGCCTAAGGCAATTACAAAAGATCAAGACAAACCTGTCTGAATGAGATTGTCCCACTCATTAACTCTTATATTACTTTTTAGCAACTGTGTTGCATGTGGGTCATATGTGAAAACAGAAATGATAGAAACTTTGGTTTACCCCTATTGTGATGGGACTTTTTGAATGAAGCATGTGATGTGAGATTTTAAGAAGTGCTGATAAATTTCCAATGACAATTAATTCTTCCACAAAATTTATTCATCCTGGTTGAATTAAGTCATTTTTAGGTGTTTTTTTTTGCTTAGCCAGAGTAACTGACCATGTAATGAAAGGTACCAAATATTCCTAATACAGAGTTGAGTACATTGTATTAAGATTACTTTGTAGCATTCACATATTGTTATAATTCATTTCACTTTATCCGTTCATGCTCTGTCTGATGATTGTACATCTTGACAATTGCCCTATATTGTAGATTCTATTGCAACTGGCTCAGATGTGAGGTTGTCATGTCCAAAGCACAACTAATCACTCAGTTGCCTTTCCATAATCCATCTAGTGTATGAGGATGACAGTTTTTTAGCACCAGTTTCGTATGTCTGATCCCAAAGAAAGCCATAAACATATGTCCAGTGACATTATAATTACTTCTTCCTATGGAATAGCATGAATATTTGTTTCATGCTCCAGATGTTTGAAATATGTGACAGTTAACCCTATCTCAATGGGCTCAGTATAATATACCAAGTTCATATACACATTTGCACACAATAAGTATTTATACTATAACTTTTAATGCAGTGTGTGTATCTTCACAAAATTTGGTAGAATTTTAGTAAACATTTTGTAGACAAAAAAATCAGATTTTTTAATGAAGTATTTTTACTAAAGATTTGTTTGTGAATATATCGAGTATGTTTCTTTACTAGTTCAAGTACAAAATGATTTTCATCTTATGATTAAAAAACTATTCTTCCTCCCGAAAATCAGTCATCATTTATGTAATCTCTAAAACCTTGTAAATACATTTGAAATGTTTGTTTTCAGTAAAACTTTATATTTTATTTGTTATTTTATCTACCTTAACTCTATATGAGGTTGGTCAATTTGACCGACCATGTAACCAAAAAAGGAAATCGGAATAAATCTAAATTACCGTTTTTTCTTTCTAAAATTTCCTCGAATTGTAACTACATTCATTTATCGTAAGTAGCTTTAAACTTGTAACAGTATACATCTATTTATACTTAAACTTTATTGTTTTATTGCATTTTGATTATCCTTTGAACCACTAACTACTTCTATTCGTGCCATTATAAGTTGTAAATCACTTTGGGAACATGGAGCTCATGTTATGCTATTGAATTACCCACGAGCTACTCCAAGTCTGAGCTGCTCGTATGTGTGCCTCGTGAAACATTTTGTTATATTATTATTTATTTTACCTAATCCAACCAAAAGACATTCTTAATTTTACATTTTAGTTACTTTTTTAATAATAAATAAAGAATAAACATAAAAAACAATAAATAAAGTACTTACTCAGGCTTTTCTTTTTTTTTACTGTTGATGACACTTAACCCTGTTTTTTTATACTAATGGTTATAATGCACTAAATAATTTTTATTCAATTAAATAATTCACCAAATAATATAAAATAATAACATGCAAAAAACAGACAATTTCCCCTAACTATCACAATTTTCTGGCTTTCTAACTATGAGACAAAAACCATTACAAATTCATCCAAGCTAGTCGTTTTCTTTCCCAAATGAATAAAGCTTGTACTAACTGAGAAATTGGCAATTCTCTGTTCAAAAAACAACGTAATATAATACATCATTTGATATATGAAAACCTTGGCTTCCTATTGGTTATACATAATATAGTATTAAGCTTAAGAGAGAACTGTTAACAAATCTTGAAAGAGGGGATGTGATAGGTGGGTGTGACAAAAGGTGTCTGATTTTGTATTTGATGACTCAGTAATCAAACAAGATTGAAAGCTATAAAAATTGTGGTTTGTCTGAGCAATGACATTTTATAGTGAGGAATTTATGTAAAATTTCTTACTTATTGGCGGGGTGGTGAAGAAAATAGAGAAGAGGTGATGCCTAGAGAAAATGTTATATTTCTCAACTGAGGGGAAATTCAGAATTTTAAAATATTGCCTTATAAAATTAAGAATTTAAAACTTGTATACTATTAAAATTTGAATTGTTAGTTACTAATTAGTATAACATAAACAAAAAGTAGTTTAATAACATTTTGAAAATAACTTGCTAAAAGACTGTGACATGCACAGTTAGACCTGCTCGTTGTGAAAGGGTTAAATGGAATGTATGACTGGAATTATGACTTCTTTCTCTGGATGGTGCTGGTGCCCAACTTGATGCATACTTCTTTTTTTTCCAATGACATTAAGTCCAAGGAGTATCCCTTTCTTGGAAATTCTAAACTTCCAATCTAAACACCTGAATGTATGAATATATTGCATTAGAAAGAGTGTAACTAATCTGTTATTAAAGCAGTCAGTGTTTAGTGGCATCACACTACCTACAAAATGTCACACAATATCAAAATATAGTTTTGATACATGTTGCTTGACCACAACTTTATATCAGTTGTGATTGTCACATGATTTGCTTATTTGTGTATTCAAAATTGTTTTATATAATATACTTGAGTTTTGGTTTTATATAATATACTCGAGTTTTGTAGTTATTGTGCTAAAGCACAACATGGATTAAGACTTACATAAGGAATAATGTTTACATGTATTAATTAACAATTATTATACTAGCCTGCATTCTGTAAGCCAACTTATATTAAGCCTATTGCAGCTCAAATACAGAGATAGTCGTTTTCTGACATGCATACTTTAAGCTTAGATAATTAGTATTTTGACAGTGTGGAAATGTAAAGTTAAATGCAGATTAAGGTTGTAAAACAAAGTAGAAAGCTTTCTGCTCAAGCTGAGGAGCAGATAATCAGTCTACCTATCTGATATCTATTTTAAGTAAACAACTACCTAGAGTGGCATTCACACTTGGTGATCTTCTGGGCAATCTAGTTTAAATCTTTTTTTGTAAGATGCGAGTATAATAATTTAGCATTACTAGGAGTTGGAAACAGGGCCAAAGTAAGCATACAGAGAGCTCAGAGTTGATGAAATTGTATGTATTTTTTCAAAATATTTCAGTATAGTCCTAGGGCTGCAATCCCATCAGTTCTTGCTTTAATCCAGCAGTGTTTGAAAGCTGATAGTATTGATTCCAGTTTCCTCATAAGGATGTGTGATGAGCTTGGAAACTTCAGCTTAGATAGAAAAGACATCTCAGATCTGTGATATTAGTTAACATCTTTCTTTGTTCTAATCTGTCTGAATTTACTCTGGTATAAAACTGCTTTTTTTTGTTGTTAAAGTTTGGATTTTTGCAGTTTCTTGCAAATCATGGAACATCTACATTCATAATTGTTCCCACAGTTTTATTTTGCATATCACCATCATAACAGTTAGATCAAATTATTTATTTTCACTCATTTTTTTTGCCTAACAGTTCTGTGTATGTATGTGTGTAACACCACATATATGCTATATAAACATGAATAAAAGCCCTATAACCCAAGTGCTTTCAAAGGGTGGACCTTTCTTCTTCATGGGCAAAATTATAAAATCTGACAGACTACCCAAGACACAGCCTTGGTAACCTGACCTATAACTTCCATCAGCTCAGTAATCCAAAAATTAATATGACTTCTGATGAACACAAAACCTTAGGAGAACTTTCTAAATGACAAGGCATTATAATTAAATCTGCTGATAGGTGGTGAAAATCTGGATGGTGTAAAGATTTGTACATTTTTGAAGCTGAAAAACAATTTACTGACTCTAAGTTTTACAGTCCCATAATCAATGATATGGCAATCTTGTTTAACCTTAAATTAAAACTACCATTAATAGTACGATTCATGCAGGTAAATTGTCACTTGACGCTACCAATTTAGTTGTTAATTATTCCAGAACTCTTGAATTTTCCTAATATCCTGGTAGCTCAGTTATTTACACTTGTAACTGCCACCATAGAATTAATTTCAACTTTTCTTAATAATATTTTTAAACCCATTGTTCCATCTTCTCCCATTTACATAAAAGACAAAAAAGCAATCCAAATTTTCAAGAACTTTCAGTTTTTTGGTAACAACCATTATATTCAGTTACAATGAAAACACTCTACATATTGATTCATCATGATGAAGGTATGAAAACCTTTAAACATTAATTGGATTAACTAAACCTTCCAACTTGCACACTTTTAGATCTTGCTGAACTTTTATTAATCATGAATGGGTTATCCTTTAATGGCAAGTTTTACCAATAACTAAATGGTGTTCTCACGAGCACCAAAATGGGCCCTTCTTATGCCTCATTATATGTTTGATATACAGAAAATTGGATTCTCTCCACTTAACAAGGAAAACCCTCAACTCCTCACAAATGCTGCATTGATGACATTGTTGTGAAGCTAACACACCATTAAGTGAATTAAAAAATGCAGTTTCATCCTTCCATCCAGTGTTTTCCTTCATATGGACAGTTTTCTCTATGACCATATTTTTTTTCTTTAGATGTTCTTATTACCACTTAAGTCTGATGTTTATGTACATCAGTCCATTATAAACCCACCTATTCCCATTCATATTTCTGTTATGACTCTTCTCATTAACATCTTACATTTCAGCACTTCCACATTCTTAGTTCCTAATACTGCATAAGTTTTGCAGTGGGCAAAGTGATTACGAGTCAAAATCAGAAGTGAAAGACTTCTTTATCAGTTGCTTTTACCCTAAACTTTTAATAAAGAAAATCTCTCAAACTGCTAATTGTGTAACCCAACTCTCAAGTGCTGCTTTTTTAACTTACCATCATAGTACCACTAAATCTGAAAGAACCTCCACTCATCTGTTACACATGAGAAAAATATCAAAGGAATCTTGGTCCACAGTATCATATAAAAATCAACCCCTAACAAGTACATATTGTTGTCACAGAAAGAAATGTATTACCTGTCAAAATGTTAACACCACAACATCCATATATATGGCCCAGTGGAAAAATCCAACACACTAGTCATTCATGTGTATTTCAAAAAACCTAATATATTATGTGATCCTTAAAAAAAGGTTGACACTATAACTTGATGCATGCATGTATTACTGGCTTTTATTTATTTACTTAGTTTAATATGACATTAATTTATTGTTTTTTTCACAATTTTTTAATGTCATCTAACATTACTCGGCTAATCAATATTCTTTGTTAATTCTCATATTCTTATTTGTTGTATGAATATGTTCTTGAGCCATATGCCCCCCCTTTTTTAACATTTTAATTGGTTATTATACCCTGTCCCTTACAAAAGTCATTTGCTTCTCACTGCAAACCCAATAAAGAGTCATTACCCAAAATATTTTCAAATTCATCAATAAATTTATTTTAATTTGTTTTACCATGTTTCTTTTCTAGTGCATCAAATTAATCTAATATTTTTGCAACATTGATCATGAGAAACAGTGTTCCAGTTAATGATGATGTCATGATTTTAGTTAGTTCCAGTGATGATCAAACATTGTTTATTAAGACAAGTTGGATAAAAGTTCCACTGAAATTACTTCTGTGTTTCAAAATAAATATGAAAAGGATGTTTTGGGTAACTACCCTTCATCAGACTAAAAGAACCACACAGAGCTAAAATTAAACATAAAAAGTATGCATAAAATTTGCCTAGAATGCTGGTGAGATTTCCCACATTGTTTGTAAATTAGGTCTAAATGAATTGGCATGTTTTCACTGTAAGTTAGGTCAAGATAAATTGGCATGTTTTCACTGTATGTTAGGTCAAAATAAATTGGCATGTTTTCACTGTAAGTTAGGTCAAGATAAATTGGCATGTTTTCACTGTAAGTTAGGTCAAGATAAATTGGCATGTTTTCACTGTATGTTAGGTCAAGTTAAATTGGCATGTTTTCACTTTAAGTTAGGTCAAGATAAATTGGCATGTTTTCACTGTAACTTAGGTCAAGATAAATTGGCATGTTTTCACTTTAAGTTAGGTCAAGATAAATTGGCATGTTTTCACTTTAAGTTAGGTCAAGATAAATTGGCATGTTTTCACTGTACTACAAAAGGTTGTGTGCAAAGTTCTGCTGCCTAAATGTCTCTGCAGCTCTTCATCTGTAAATAATTGAAATCTTATGCCATAAGATATGTCCACATTCGTTTTATGGACTGAACAAATTCTTTGTAATTAGACCTAAATGAATCAACTTGTTTTCACTGTTCTGCAAAAAAATTGTCATTTGCAAAGTTCTGCTACATCATATGTACATGGCAACAGCCTCAACAAATGGGCAATATTGTTGCAATTTGTTGCCCAGTTTTCAAAGAAACATTGAAAAAGTTTCATACCAAGTAATGTGCTCTTGGCTACATATAACAAAGAATTCATGCTGGGGATAAGGATTAAAGAATACCACAATGTCACCAAACTCGTGAAATCCAAACTTCCTGACACTATAGAACAGTCCATGTCTCTTCATCATATACTCAGTGTGATGGATAAAGTAAACTATAATAACTTTAATATAAAAAATAAAATGGAATTGTATCAGAAAGAAAAAGGTCCAAACTTACCAGAGTGTGGAACATACAGCTTTGTCAAGCCTTGCTCCAGCACTAGTCAGTTTTTCATATACCACTGTGTAAGTATAGTCCAAAATAGTTGGTCATTTGCTGTCTCTGAATAATGTTGCTATACCTTTAGTATAAATTTATTTTACATCATAGTTCTGATTAACTATCAGCAATTACATCAGAGTAAAACAGCTGTCTAGTTGTACTGATTATGCAACATTATTTGAAATACTTATTCAGAAATAGAAGTTTAATCAAGAAAATGAAGAGTCAGAAGTTATTCTGTTAAGTGTATGTACTTCTAACATAACTTAAATATGAATGTTTAATTAATAGCTTTAAAACATTTATATAGTATTCTACAGTTCACAATGAGTTCTGAGTAATTATAACCATTCTTAATGAAGCTCTTTACATTACTCACTGATTTATCAGAGGTATGTGTATATCTCGTTTATTTTTCTTTATTTTTTACAGGTAATAATGGTCAAATTCAACTGTGGCAGTTTCTTCTTGAGTTACTGACTGACAAAGAGTACAGATGCCATATTCGATGGATAGGAGATGATGGTCAGTTCAAGCTGTTGAATCCAGAAATGGTTGCTAGACTGTGGGGTATGAGAAAGAACAAACCTCATATGAATTATGAAAAACTTAGTCGTGCTCTAAGATACTACTATGATGGAGATATGATAACTAAGGTAAGATTATTTATGGAGGTATTAAAATTTATTCTAGCTTATTTTCAGAATACACTAATGTTTCAGTGCTACTCTAAAATGTGTAATAATTCTGTAATGTAAGGCTCTTTACACAAAACACATAAACATAAACTTTCAAGTTTATTTTCAAAATATTTGCAGAGCTTCTTATGGTTTTAAAATACAAAGATTCCTCATAATAATTAGAAGTATCTTCATAATTTACTTCTTTTAGTATGACATCATTTGGCAAAAAACAAAAATAGAAAGACTATTCAAAACAAAACACTTCAGGACTTACATGCGACTGTGAAATGCAATGTGAAAAACAAGATACTCACCAAATTAAAAATAATATTTGTGTGAAAAACAACTTAATACCTTGTAAAATGGATTGAAAAATTAAACAAAAATACATGAATGTTTAATGTTTTCAAAGGAAAGAAGCATATCTAGCTATTAATATAAGGAATATTTCTGGTAAAACAACAAATTCTATTGCATTCTTTTTATCTTGTAATATTTGAAAACTGAATATTTTGTATACTTAAAACTATTTAGTTTTATATAGGTACTGGATAACCTTGAAATGTGTAAATCATTTTCCATACTTGAAAAGCCATTGAAAAAGTATAATATACTAAAAAGTCTCAAAGTAGGTTCTTGAAAACCAAAATGCCTTAATCTAAAGTATTTTTGTTAAAAAGATAGATAAAACCTGACTTATTACTCCAGAAAATATAATTAATTTTATTTAAGCTAACCTTTCACCATTATGGTTTCATCGGGGCAAACAAGACACTTGTTAACTGATTTAGGCTTATACAAAATAATTTGAGTCTGCATAATAAGATGGACTTTACATGAGACTGTATAAACATAATTATTGTAAAATTATATTGTTACATTATAAAATTGAAAGTACATGCAAAACAAATAAAATGATAATACTTAAAGCACACATAAAATATGTTGTTATACTAATTAACTATGAACAGTAATAATTTAAAATTCCAGGGTGATTTTTTGTTTTACTGTGAAACTAATAGGGCTTCTTTGCATTTTCTATCTAGAAAACTGTGGCAAGGAGTAAGAATGTTTGTTGTTATGGGACAGTCGATATCAGTTAATACCGTATTTATTAGCAAAATGCTTAACCACAGCTCTGGCTTTACTGTTTAATGTGTGCAGAGCTCGAAAATGTTCATTAATTTGATCCCTAATAGTTCTGCCTGTTTCACCAATGTATACAGAACCACAAAGTTTACATGTCAAACTATATACTATATTCTTGCAGTAACAATTTCCTCTTAAACCTGCTTTACAACCTGCACATTTGTCTGTGGGTTTATTGATTGTTTTAGGCTTAAAGGCTGATCTTACAAACAATATTGTTCAAAGCTCTACCCCGTATCTCTGCAACTGTTATGTGAATACCTGATTGTTTGCTCACCTGAATAATACAAGCTTAAATATTAAGGCTAATGTATGATAAAGCAAAATTTGCATTCAATTGCTTTTTTAATGTAGTAATGCTACTGCATTGTTATTGTGGGCTTTGTATTCATAGCTCTGTAAAGTGTTATCAATAGATTTTTTGATATCTATTAACTGCACTGGTTAGGTCAAAGTTACATCCAAAATGTAATTAAACTGTTTTATTATCAATTTTATATGAATAAACTTGTAGGTAATGAATCAAATTTTATTTTTATAAGGAAATATTTTTAAAACTTCCACAATCTCCCCTATTATGAAAAATGTGACATTTGCTCTCTAGGTCTTCCTTCTTTTATAAATTATTTTCCACCCCTCCGAGAAGTACAGAATTTGACATAAATTACTCTCATAATATAGTTATTACTCAGGCAAAGCATACTTTTAATGGCCTTCAATCTTATTTGGTTACAGAGCCATAAACTATAAAATCCGACCTCTCTTGTCATGCCTACCTGTCACATCTTCTCTTTTACAAATTATCAATAGTTCTCTCTGATGTTTAATATTATGATAGTTATAGGATATTGTCTGCTTTTTATGTGTTATTGTTCCTTGTTCTTAGGTGCATTATTTTGTTAAATAATAAATTATTTAGTGTGGTAGTACCACTTGTATAAAAAAATGTAGACTTAAGTTTCATCAACAGTCGACAGCAAGGAAAAAGAAGACCCAAGTTTCTTTTTATATATTTTATATATTTCTTTTTTTCGTTTGTTTTCTTTATTTGTTAGAAAAGTAACTAAAACATAAATATTAAAACTTGTTAGGTAAGATAAAGAATAACAATAATAAAAATTCTTCATGAATTATGTTCATGCACAGCTATCGATAGGGTAATGTGAGCTACTAGTTTGTTGAGTGATTTACAATGTGTGTGACAGGATTATTTATTAGATGTGGTTTAAAAGGCAATAAAACAATAAGATTAAGTATGCATAGGTGTTACAAGCTTAAAGCTATTTAGGATAAAAAGTTGTGGTTTCTGTTACAATTTACAGTCATTTCAGAAAGAAAAAAGGGTAATTTACAACTGTTTCCTAATTTTTTTTATGGTGGTTATGAGATCAGTCAATTTGACTGACCCTGTATAAAGTTATAGTATAGAAAATAACAGATAAAATATAAAGTTTTTGTGGAAAAAAATTATATTTACAATGAAGACAATAAAAAACTTCAGAAAAACGTTTATTTATTCTACCCATCGTTTCAGCTTAAGTCTTTTCCAAGGACCTATGAACATCACACGTTATATAACTGATTTTAAATTATAGTAACTGAAAGGAATATAAAACTAAAACAATGTAATGGAACAGTGTACAGTGAAGTATACTAAAAGTATTGTTGAATGGGCTAGATTTGCAGATTATAAAAGTAAATGTAAAAAAATATGTAAATGAATACATCAAAAATGAAATTAATAATAGTACTATAAGGGCCAGGCACTGCATCTGTTAACCCTATGATGATGACGTGCTTCATTCTGAAACACATTATATAATGTTCATTAAATTTCATTCCAGTAATAAAGCCAGAGGATAAAATTGTTTAAAATTTGACAAGAACGTTCATAAAATATGTAGTTTGAGAAAAATAAAATATTTAATTTTGGTATTTTCTACTATTTCCAATAAAAATTTGTTATTTAATGTAATTATTTGCACTCAAACTCTGAATAGTTCTCCTGCAAGGTGATTTTCATTTTGAGTATACAAAAATACTATTTATTATCATACAATTTTCACATTTCACATGCATAAACTCTAAAACCTCTTAAATGAATATCAAAAATTTCTTTAAGGTAAATGTTTATATTTTATTTTCCATTTTCTCTACCATATCACTAAATTTAGCTATTATCATCAATGTACAGTACAATGAAATGCTTAAAATTAAGAAATAGAAATATGTACATACCTTTTAACTCTTTGTTGAATAATCTTAAAATATCATCTTTGGGTCATATACATAATTTCATGTCTGTACCTTTTCACTTATAGTTCATTTTTAATGTTTTATTTTACTTTCCTATTTTTTATCGTTGAATATTTATGTTGACACACATGAATGGGTACCCACGGGTGATAGAATGGTATGAATGGCAGAGATACCTTAGTTCCAGCAAAATCTTTTTATACATGCTTGGTAATGTAAGCCTTTTAGAATGAGGAAAAGCTTTGGTTATTTTATAAAAATTATTAAACCTTTCAAATATGAATTTTAAAACACAAATGATGCATAATTAACTAAAATTTAAAGTAAAACCTAAATACATTTTATCTGTCTCTCTAACTATAACATATTCAGGTAAGAAACCACTGAAGTGCTATTGTGAACAAAGCAGCCAGCAATAGTACAAGCAATTACATCTACCCGAGGAAGACAACTTGGCTTCAATTTCAAAGTAACTGTTGTTGAATTATAGTGTAAAATGAGCTCTTTCTAATCACTGTAAACACATGTAATATCTAAAGCCCAATGTTAACTATAGAAGGTGGGCATGTGGCACCTGTCAGGAATTGACAAAATTTATTTCTTGTTTCAACCGCATTCAGTGAAAGAATTTTGAAACATATTTCAAAAGGGCAAGTAAACTACATTCTCATCTAAACTTACATGTACATGACTACCCCCTTATGCTTCAAGCTATACTTTACCAAATTTTGAAACTGTTTATAGCTCATGCATCTTGTGATACAAAACTGAGAGATTTCATTATTTCTTTCAATGTTTCTTTTGAAATAAATGAATAAAAACTAAGATAATATAAAACTGTGACTATAACATACTTGATAATAATAATTTCATTCAAATACATTGATAGTAATGTGTTTAATTAAATTTTGAATGTAGCTCAGTGACATGCACAGAAAGGGGTTTAAAAAGCTTGTCATTGTTAAAGGACTAAGGGAAGGGTGTTTGCATTGAATCAAAAGAGATTCTTTAAATTTGCTGTCAAGAAATTTGTCACATATCATGTAAGGTGTCTCGTTAACTATGCCATAAGTGTGTTGATGCAATGTTCAGTAGTGGCTTCTTTGTTGTCAAGATTTGCAGTGGCATGAATGTGTTCTTTGAAACAGTCATGTATTGGATGACTGGATTCACTTACGTATCTGGCTGAACACTATTTGCGTGTCATTTCATAGACCGTGTTCCTAAGTGTGCAAGATTTCTCAAAGCCATTGGTCTTAGTATGGATAGTTGTTATTGAAGGTTGAATGAATAAGTATATCCATCAGTTTTATACTGGGTTTTGTATGATGTGGATATTCTGATTAAATACTCGTCTTTGTCAAGCAAAGGTTTATCCACGAAGAGCATAATCCATGAGACAGTGTTAATAAGATAAACGAATGACCATCTACACAGTGAAAACATCTACAAACACTACAATGAGAGCCTAATAATAACATTGAGAAAAAAAAAGTAGTGATTTCATAAAACAGACCAGTAAAAACTCAACAGCAATACATGACCATTTCACTATTGTAGTTAAACATATTGTCAGGACACAACATCAAGCAGTGACTTTTATGTTGTCATATACAAATAAATCAAACTTAATGATTGCTTTACCAGACAGAGTTTGAGTGACACATGACAGCCAAACTTTTGTTTTCCCTTTTTAATGCTTCCTATCTAGCAAGAGCTAGTCATAATTAAACAGTTCTATTTGTGTAAATGTGTTAACATAACAGTGTTACATGTTGTTAAACTGTTATTAGACCATTTCTAGTAAATTCTGACAAACACGGTTAATGAGCAAGTTATTCAACAATTAAAATCAGCTTCACCAAGTAAATAATAATGAATATGAACTTGCCATAACTTTTTCTATTGAAACAATGTTACTGTAAGTAACCCTGGTTACATTTGTAGCTTGTAGTAAGTAAGTTAAAAGTACAATGTTGTTTAGTCCAAACAAAGTAAACATGAACAACAAGCATAAATGTGGCTAGTTGTGTAACAAATGGCCACTAGTACCACACCATCATGTTTGTGAGTTGTATTCAAAAATAACACATGCATACCATTGCATGCATTAGCACAAACCAAAATAGTAATAGTTGTTGTGTCATGTTAGAGCAAATCTCATTATTCATTGGTAAATGAATAATGTTGTTGGTAGGTGTTTCCACCCCATTGCCTTCCATCTGATGAGCAGTTCAGAATTAAGGACAGTGCCTTTCCATAACTCAAAAACAAAGAAACAAATATAATACCTCCACAGCTGAAAGAGTAAGCATTGCTGATGGCAACAGAAATCCAACCTACAGCCCTTGAATCATGAGGCAACCACTCTAATTGCCAAGCTATGTCAGCCTAAAGCTGAATAAACTTGAATTAATCTAAAATAATACTGAAAAATAATAATAGTAATACTTTGATTACTCACAGTTGGATTAACCAAAAACAGTAATAATCAGAAACACTAATTTCTAAGTTATAGGTGGCACAACATTAATGGTAATAGTTGGGGACAAAATGGGTTCTCTTACTTTGTATTGAATAGTTAATGGTGTTAGAGATTGTAATTCTTGAGTGGATGCAGAGAGAAATGTGACTGATTTTGTCCTTGCACATAACAGTTCAGTTTTTGTACATTTTCCATGTTTTTTTTTATCATCTTGTTATAATCCATTTGTATCTCTTCATTCTTGTTGTTATAATCCTGCTGTACTTCATCTTTCTTGTTATGATCATTTTTCACACTTTCCAACTTTATTCTGTACATTTGCTATCTTGTTTGCCATCAAAGTGATCTGGGTTCACGATTATTCTGTAAATCTCATTTATTATATTTTTTATTTCCTCAAATGTTCGAGTCCCTCTTATCAGTCTTTTAATATTCTGTCATTTTTACTATGATCTTCTATTATTTTCCTGTCTCTTCTTGATCTTCTTTCCACTGTTTCATCATTTCCATTAAATGTTCAATCTCATTTTGAGCAGTTTATCTTCATTTTGTCTTGAAGTTGAATTTGGACTGTATTGAATTTTTATCAAAATAATTCCATTCATGGGATTAATCTTATAACAGTTTCAGAATGCAAAGTTCAGTCCACTTAATAATGATAAAAGTGTTGTATTTCTTAAACTGCAGGTTCTGCAAATTAGCCTTACTAATGTTCATTGATAGACCTAAGTTCACAGTGTATACTAGTACAATGGTTTCACTCATTTTCTAATCCTCTCTATCTGTATCTCTATTTCCTTATCAAAACTAAAGCTCAGTAATTATGCACTAAACTAACTATCTGGCTGACTGCAGTACACAAACTGATAACTAACACTAACCTAACTCACTTTATATACTGTACAAACTGTTCTACAACTTTGGAGAAAATTCTGGACATTAGGCTATGTGATCATAATCTGATGTCAAACCTCTATCAGTACAAATTTATAAATTCCAAATCATAGCCTACAAAGTATTATACAATAATAGTAAAATGTATTATTGTTTCTTTTTACACAGGTACATGGAAAACGATTTGTCTACAAATTTGTATGTGACCTGAAGAACTTACTTGGCTACAGTGCAGCAGAACTTAGACATCTAGTTGAGCAGTGTGAGAAGAAACAGCTTGAAAAAACATAAATAATCAAGAAAATCCAGAAACTTGACCTGTGATAATTGTAACTATATAACCAGATGATAATAAACATAATCACATCATTTTCACATCTCAGATCTTTGTTTTATTAGCAGTTTAGTTCTTGTTAATTTTTTTTGAAGGCTGGTAAAAGTAAATAGTTCATTTATGTTGTAGATTTTATATAAAATAATGAAATAATGTTGCCATATTCAAAATATGGATACTTGTTTTGAGAATATTGTAAAATAATAACTATTTTTTCACAAATATTTCATACTTCAGTTCATAATTTCATTTTATAAATAGTAGGTTAATCAGATAAAATAACGCTTATTAAGTATACAGTTTTGTAATCTGTTTGTTGAAACTACATTCAGCATACCTTTATTCAGCAAATGTTTTTTGGGAAGAGATTTTGGTACAATTTTTTATGACAGAAAGCTAACATACGAGTTGCTTTTGAAAGCAAAGCATTAAAACAAGTGCTTGCACAAGATTTTTTAAATTGTAATCATTTATATTTTGTTTGGTGTTAGGGACCAGTTAACTGTGTGACACAAATGGATATTTAAAAAAAGTTGGTAATGGTGGTGTTGAGATGTTATATTTTGGTTTTTGATAGTCCACTGCTGATAATTTTTTGAAACTCCTTTTAAATAATTCTGTCTTTATTCTGTTTTTTATTAATGTTTTGCTTTCAACAATTTGGAAAAATATTAATAGTTTGTGGTATCTAATTATGTTGATTTGAGCTTGATAAAAGTATCTTGATCAAGTTATTCTATGATATATACGAGGCTATGTAACATAACCTGTACTAACACACAGTTATGAAATTTAAATATCAGCCTTGTTTTTGTCTTGCTTTCCACAGGTTTTATTTTTCCTTATTTTATTTAAAACTTGTTCATAATTCTTCTTCTGTAATAAAATGAGAGGTTTTTAAACAATGAATAAATCCTGCATCTTAACTTATTTAATAAGATTTCTTGTAAATAAAAGTTCTGGACACAATAAAGTTGATGTACTGTAAAATTGGTTATATATTTCACATAAGCTTCTTTATATCATTCACTATCTGTTGTCATTCTTGTGCAAGGTATGAATGTAATATAATAATCATTGGACCATACTGAGTTTATTCATAAACGTAACTACATTTTCATGTTTTATATTGAATTCCTGCCATTACCAAAAAATGTATTATACTTTTTGTCACTCTATAGGTGTAAAGCTTTTCTCATTGGTTTATTTCCTTTTTCTTGATTTTCATTTATAGTTTGGTGTAAAGACAAGTATGTATAAATATACAATGACAATATGAAAATAAATTAATAATGGGGAGTAGTTTGTATGCACTACTATATATATATATATATATATATACATATAGATACATACATACATACAGGGACCTGAGTTTGCTTTGATTACATGGCTACATCATTTTTTAATTGCAGGATTTATATGTGATTATATAATCATTAGTTGTTTGCATAAGCATCATATAATAAAAATCTGAATTTTTTAGACAGTCTGATTAATGGCCTGTAAAAATACTTCTAACGTTTATGGTGTATCTGTTGTTATTTCATAAAAAATGTATTAAATTGCTATTGATGATGGAATTCCATTAATTATTTGTAACATGCTCTTAATTTTCATGGTTTTAAGCTTTTTTTACTTTATGTGAGGGTTGCATAATTTCAAGTTGTTGACCCCATGAAAATAAGGGTCCTGCTTTTTTATACGCACAGACACATATATATAGTGAGAGAGAGAGAGATAAACAATACAAAAGTTATGTTAATTTTGATATTTAAAGGAAGCAGTATCTCCCTACCTTACATTAGTTCTTAAAAGATTCAAAGAGATAACCAATAAACAGATAATGTTGCACACAAAGGACAGACAAATAACATTAGGCCATGATACCAACTGCTTGGGAGATCTGTGGCCTTAGCTCTTCTTGAAAAATTATAAGTGGGGTTAGCCTGTCTGATATCCTTCAATTTCTATAAAAACCAGATGCATTGCTGTCTGCCTCTTCATAATTACTGAATGTTTTAAAAAATAAAACATTATGTATTGGTAATATCTGTACTAAAGTTTAATGAATGACAGGTCTTTCAGCTCAAGATTCCTTTACATACAGCTTACATAATAGAAATTATGTTTACCTAACATTGGCATTTAGTGAGTGAGGGAAGCAGCAAGAAGGACATAACTTGGACAACATAATATAATTATTAATGGCAGTTTAATTTTTCTAAGTCTAGAGTAGTAATTACTTTTTTTTTTTTTTACTTAGGTATATTGTTAATGTTCTCTTATGTGAAGTAGATATGGAGGCACTAATTTCCAGTTTTAACAAGATGAGCTTTTCTTAACAAAAATGAGATACATTGTGTTAAGGAAATAAATACCAGACTAAGTGTTATGACAGCTTTCTGTGGAGATATAATTGGCGACAGTATTAATGTATGGTTTAAAACTGGAGTAGCTAATTACAGATTGGATCTGACATGCAGTTCCTCCACTCTTTCTAAAAAAATAGAAACTCTGAACCTATTATTTCTTTCTTCTTGTATTACTTTTAACAGAGGTTTGCATCTGGGTTCTTGCTCATGGCCATTTATCTTGTTAAGGTATCATTGAATTTTTTATTTGTGAATTTCTTTACCATCATCTGTCAATTCTTGTGTCAACCCTTTTTGCAGTAATCTTAGGATTTTACTGAGCTGCTCCAAAAATTCTTCCAGATTTTGCAGAAATGTTTTTGATCTCCCACACCTAGAGCTGGTTGCATTAGTTCCAGTTCTCCTATGTTTTCCAATAATAGTCCACACAAGGTTTTTTAATAAACCAAGCATTTCTGCTATATTTCAGGAAGTTTATCTTCTTTTCTTTTTTTGGTTGAGATTGTTACTGTACTCCTAAGTTTTACCATTTTTGTTGCAATTGCAAAAAAAAGTAAACAAACAAGCTTAAGGTTTTTAACTTAACAATTTTTAATCTTGTTTCTTTAGTTCTTTTTAATGCCCATCGTGAGAATAAATCTGTATAATAGCAATACTGTCCTATTTGAAACAGTTTAATTTAATAAAATACGTAGTTAGTGTATGATGTTCTCTTTGTAACCAATGAAAACCTTTGGATTGGCTTCTCAGATTGCTATTGCTCCTGATATCATTGCCACATTGTTATCATTGATAGTGGTACTGTACGTATGATCACCATGATGTATGATGATAAGTTTACCACATGTTATGTATATGCTTGTAAAATGTACATAGCTACTATATTTATACCCTATAGTTATATGGGGAGTCTGTAAACACTGGATTGGAAGGACTACTGAACTATACTGGAATGGTGCATGGACTGTATTTTGTAAGGGCACGAGTTTTATACATGCGATGCATGTTCCTAGTATTTATATATATATATATATATATATGCAGGCTTTGTAGTTTTATGTTGTAATGCCGTATACATAGATAGTTATATGAATCTTTCAAATTGTATAAATGCATGCATATATATTCAATACAAATAAAAAAATGTGTCATAATATAATAGGATGTGTATACAAATAAGCATTTTAAATATTTCTTATAGTTGTTATATTTCTTCCTGCCAGAGTAAGGCCGGTCACGGTTTTGCTGCAACTGGCCAGATGTCCTCTGAGAGTGACATTCTGCACACACTACAAGGTGTAAAACGTGTTGATTAACAATTATAAATTGGTTATATTAATATACTTCCCCCTCCATTTATGAAGGAGTTTGTGTCGTGATACTTCTAGACCATCTACTGTGACGACCCAAAACTCTGGTGGGCCATGCTACTGTATCCTTTTTCTGAAACTAAATATTTTCTAAATATAATATATATAGCTACAAAATGTCTAACTCACTTTCTCCCAGAGTCGTCATTTGCTGCTTGCACGATTCTTGCCATTCCTTACAGTCATCTTCAAGATGACTACTCTGTCTGCATCATGTGTAAAATTCGCAACCACGAAGTGTTGACTATAATTCGACACTTACCATCAGCCATCACCGTGATTGCCGATCCGATGCTCTAAACTAAGCTTGGTGCTATATTTTAAACTATGGCTTGAAGATTTCTGATGTGGGAAACAGCCTAGGCGTTTGTGTAACATGGCCGAAATCAATCATGCAAGTGGTAAAAAAACGTGATCCTGTCAGCAGTGTCATGTCCGAAAGGGTTGGAACCCAATACATAAACAAATGATACGTGAGATCAATACCGTTGCAGTAATAAGTTAATAATGGTACGTGTGTCATGCCTGCCATTTAAACATTATATTACATTCAAGGACTGCCCGCAGCTGTATGTGTATGCATGTAGTAAATTATGAGGCTCCATATAAATTACACACTACTTTAAAATGATTGGAGGGGGCAGACTTTAGTGGGCAGCTCATTTATGTCTGGACTGGGTGGAGCTTGATACGTACTGATGAGGGTGCAAATGTGAGAGATTAAGTTTCTGGTAAACACAGGAGCAGCAAGAACCCTGGAGGATTTTGCAATCTTTCAACCCCTCCAAGATAGACGATCACTCTGACTAGTAGACACTGACTTTGTTCTGGCAAATGGTAATAGATATTGGAGGAGAGGCACATCTATGACTTATTCTAGAAGGTGTTGTCTACAGAATAAATGTATTTATCTCGGATCTAGAATAGATGTGCTGCAGAGTTTGTCCATCAGTTTTGCCTGTGCAACAGGTTGGCTGATGTTATTTGGAAAAGTCATCCAATTCCATTTAGATCGAACCCCTAAACAGTGGGCCACACGAGTGTGTGTGGCACAGGTGATGACAGTACCTCCATGTACACAAATGGTATTCCATGGTTTAATCCAGACACAGTCTAATGCATTGGTGCCAAGCAAGGCTGGTCACGATTTTGCTGCAGCTGGCCAGATTTCATCTTAGCTTGGGTGGTAATCCATCCAACAAGAGGTAACATCCTTTTGCTGCTCTGTAGTTATGGGTGATTGACTATCTAGCTAGATGCTGAAATAGTCTTCAGCATGATGAGTGAGGTGGAAGTGACCGAGGCTAACGTTGACATTAGGGGTTGCTTCTTTCATGCCATGATGGAGAGCAAGTACCAGACTGCCAACACACCTGAGAAAGTTGATTTGCAATTGTGTAAGCAATCTAGACTCAATGCAGGAAAACAACTCAGAAACTTGTTGGGTTTTTATGCTGATGTATTTGTGGGTCTGAATGGCCAATTGGGACAAACAATAGTAACTCAGCACCACAGATACAGGCAATGCACATCTGATAAAGCAACCACTTGAGCAGTAGGGAAGTCATGAGCACTAAGATATAACAAATGCTGTAGGATGGAATCATACAGTCTTCAGTGGTGAGTATCCTGAAGAATGTTGTTTGAAAATACAGTGTACTTTTGATTTTCTTTAATTCTGAATGAAAATCTCGATTTCGACATTAAGACATTTAATGGGTTTGTGAACTTAACATGGAACAGACATTATTACGGAAGAGACTCGCACTATGTCAAGAAGAAGAAAAGTTCCCCTGGGTTTTTTAAGAAAACAGTTTTACTTGGTGGTTCTGACACAGGGTTATGTGGTGTATCTACTGAGCATAGTGCCAGAATATTGTTTTTAACTTCATTAAGTTAAAATATTCAAGAGGGTGAAATTGTCAGTAGTATATTATATTCGTAAGTAATGAATTAAATACCACAAACCATATGTAAACACGTCATATCCAGTGTTGTATTTAGATGTGATTGGAATATTTTCAGTTTTTCAGACTGAATATTTTCAATAAGCAAATGTTTTAGCTAAATGTTTATTCTAACATTATTACATTACAAAATACAGTTGTGAGGCATAAAAATACTCGGTATGCATACAATGAAACAAACATGATTTTGTGCCAAAATCATTGTGCATTTTGTAAATGGACGAAAGCACCTGTTGAAGACAATGAAGGTATTGGCAAATGTTAACAGTTGAAGATGAAGTTAACGAGATTAACCCAAACCAACTCGACTACATAGGCTCCAACACATTTCGACTCACATTACCCTGCTCATTGCAACCTTCCTCTATTTCTTTAATAACCAGATGATGGACAGTCAATGAGGCTAGGTCAAAGCAGCTTGTCGTGCATGTGCCTGTGATTCTATGGGGACAGGGACTACAAAGTGTAGCATGGGCAAACGTAGTTGGTCAGACATGCATCCACGTGAGCCAAGGATACAACAATACGTATAA